TCGTGGCCCTTTCTTGTCCCGGTCAACACGAAGCAGTTCCCTACGTACAAAAAGATCATCAAAAATCCCATGGACTTGCAAACGATCCGGAAGCGTCTGGATTCCACGTGCGTAGTGTTCACTTGTACAGTATACTGTACTGGAAATATTGCTGTGCTGTTTTTTATTCTTCTTCGATGGGGTTTTCGTACCCATGGGCTTCAATTAATGAGAACGAACGAGGGTTGGTTCATAAGATCTGAAATTTTTTTAAATAGATCCGGCAGACAATTCCAGAGAAATACGTATTGCAGGTATTTGCATTGCCCCATCATTTGGCAACAATTCAGGCCTGTTCAGCATACTCTCCGCCGATTTAAATGCATTTGTTCATGGTATAGATCCAAGGATCAAACCAGTGCCAAGAAGATGAATTGCAGAAAATTGTAATTGGTGATATTCTGGGCCTTCCATTGCAAACTTAATGAATTGGAAGGATGCTGAAGTTGGAGGCAAGGAGTTTTTGCCCAAATAGTCTTCCACTTCCTTTCAAAACACATTGTTACATTTTTATTGCTTTTCTCTGTGTTGTGTCAATAAAATAATATCCAAATGACCTCTGAAGATTCTACTCACAAAGGTGAGAGGGGAAGAACATGGAGTTTGGGAGGTTTTCATTGCATTGCCTCCATAAGGAAGATCAGATCTTGACTTCAAAAAATATTTGAAGTGGGGATGTTCGAGTTATCAAGGTTCAACTGTAAAATGTTCCCATTGTTCCAGAAATTTTGGAAGTGGTCGGATGTGGGGCTTTTTTTTTCGTTTTAATTGTCCCCAAGGGAATTGTCTGTAAGTTGAGGCTCCACTTCTCTGTACTGTACTGTACTGTACTACAGTTGAATCGTGATAAATCGAACCTCCCGAAGTCGTTTTTTCTTCAAATCCGAGTGAGAATTTCCTTAGGGATGTCGTTAAGGCATTTGTTCTGACTCGAAGGCTTTACGTCTCAAACCTCCATAAGTCGAATTTTCTGAAGAAATTTGCAATAGAATTTTGCAATTTTCAATAGAATACTGTAATAGCCGAATGGCTTTTGGCTATTACAGTATTTTATTGAAACAGGAAAGAGAAAAGCAGTAAAAAGATTACATGACGTGTTTTGAGAGGAAGAGAAAGACTAATTGAGCAAATAAACCCATGCTTTTATTTCAGCATCCTTTCAACCCGATGATGAATGAATTTGAGGCCAAGAAGATAATACTGTAATAGCAATTCCCTGTAAATATAATTTTTTTTTTTTTGCTCCAACAAGAATGGTTGTTACTTTAACTCAAATATTTTTGCTGGTTCCTTGAAATTCGACTGAGAGAGGTTCAACTGTACTGAATATTGAAAAACATTAAAAATGTATTTCATCATAAATTTACTGGAATTTATAATCAAAGACGGGCTGATTTTGTGCTTCTCTTTTTTTGTGGAATACTGTATTCTCCATCATCTGTGCACAGTATCTGCAGCTGAACTTGTACATTTTCTTTGCTTTTTTTGTGGTCTTTCATTCTAGAAGATCAGAATCTTTCACGCAGTCGTATTCTGTATCTTGCAATCTAGTTGTGCAATTTATCGTATATTCGGGGAATTCATTCCTCATTTTTGAAGAAAAGGAGAACCAATTAAATCAGTTCCCATTGAAGTCTATGGGGAAAACATGATCCGACATGCGGACGTTTTGACGTGGGGACAAGGTTAAATGAGAACCATTTACGTCCGCATCTCGGGGGGTCGCACTTTATGTATTTCATGATGGCGTCAGGGAACGGCATCAGAAGTGTGATTATGGATTCGTTTCACGGTAGTTTTTCACTCGAATGCTCGCGTCTCTCGTTGCAGGTACAAGTCGAGGGAGGATTTCGTGGTGGACGTGCGTCAAATCTTCGACAACTGTGAGATTTTCAACGAGGACGACTCGCCCGTCGGGAAAGCCGGTCACAACATGCGCACGTATTTCGAGTCGCGTTGGGCGGAAGTCACGGGCGCGGGTCTGCACACCAACGGCCCGACGCCACCGTCCGCGTCCAAATAAATGAAAAGAAAGAAGAAAACTATTGAGCGATAATGATTATAATTATAATGATGATGATGATGATGACCTCTTTGTCACCGTTTGATAATGATGTCTTTAATGTTTGTTTTTGGTCGTTTGAGCGAAAGGGAAGAATATGTTAGGACCTGAATGCGCGACACATTTTTAGGTATTTTTTAGTCGAGCGGGGAGAGGAGAGACAAGGAGGAGGAGGTAGAAGAAGAAGAGCATACCCTTTCCTGGTTTTCGTTTTTCTTTGTCGTAGTCGATGTCCTTGCAACTCGAAAAAGAAAAAAGAGAAGCTGACACACACACACACGCACGCATCCACCGTTGGTCGTGACAGTGGGATCTCTGATTCTTGAAGCTGCAGGTCAGCGGAAGGAGTCGTAATGCGGACATCGAACCGAGTTGGCGTGGACTGCAAGTGTGGTTGTCGTAAGATTCCATGCTTGCTGTCGGTCGGTTCTTTTTTTTTCAATTCTCTGTTTTTTTTTTTTTCTGTTCAATGATCGAATGAGGGGGCGGGGATTCAGTTGTGGGCAGAGCCGTCGTTTTGAGTTGTTATTGTCTCTGGATTTTTTATTTTATTTTTGTGTTGCATGCTCTTCACTTGTGTACCGCCACGTGGACTGATGAGCGTTTTATGTATTGCGACGAAAGCTTGTATAAAAGAAGAGTGAATTCTTGGAAGCCGAGGATTATTTTGATCCAGGTGAGGGAGCACGGAAAAGGGTCAGTTTTTACAGGCTTCTCCTCTTTTCTCTTGTTTTTCATCCGTTCTTTGGGAGAGGTCAAGCGATTCGTGGCTCGGTAATTTATTTGAGGAAGTTGCGAGGATTTCGATCGACTGATGAATCAAGAAAGGATCTTTTCATTTCTCTCTGCTTTGTTTTTGTTTTCTATTTTTGCTGCTACTGCTCTTCCTCCTCCTCCCCTTCTTGTTCCGTGCGACTGTTGTAGTAGTGAAGGTCTCGGTCGGTTGACGATGAATTTCGACACTGTCGCTGTGTTCCCGTTGTGCGGACGGACTCGTACTTCGCATATTTTAATAATCTGGACTACGAAGTTCTGTCATCAGCAGAACTGTATTTTTCATTGCTTGAACATTATATTGAATGCGTCTATGTTTGCAGCAATGCAGAATTTTTTCAGCTCTGGTCACAGTGAACAAACCTATAAGACATGGAAACGGACATGTTTTCATCGAGGAATGGCCATTGATCAAGAAGAGCGTTTTGGAGAACGATTTACTCAAGTTTTTGAAAATAAGGCTTTAATATACTGAGAATCAAGCGGTTTTTTGCAAATCAATGAAGCTCGTTTCCAGTAAAATATAATTAAACTTTAGGGAGGTTCTCGAATTGTTTTCCTCGTTGCAAAAGTATGAAAAAATGTCAGTTATACTAAGCTCAAATCGGAAAACTTCCCCTCTCTGCATGCTTGGGGTTTGATTTAATGCCCACCTGTGTGCATTACTGAAGTGGTTCAAATATAGATAGCAAGGATTCAGTGATGGATCAATAATTACACCCTAAGCTGATCGTAATACAATACTGCATTATTAAATTAGCTTGTCTAAATTCGAGTATTTGATGCTATTCTGCATTGACAGCAAGTGCAGGATGATTGGAGCGACATCTCGGTGAAGCGACCTGACACTTTTGGTTGCCCATGAAGTTAGAACTTATGTGGATGATGCCATACCGAAGATCCGTCAACGTGTTCGAATTTCAAGCTTGGGAAGGTCTTTTGATATGAATTGAGGCTAAACGTGATTCGTCTTCAACTTTGTGTATTTGCGGAAAGAAGCCATAATTTAACTGCCTTCTATTTCTAAAGATCGCCTTCAACCTTCGCGTTTGTAAGGCCATCATGCTGGTGCAGTTATTGGCTGGAGCAGAACTCTTCCCCAGCGAAACTCAACGCCACTGCACTCACCATCCACTCACTCCCTATTTTCATCACTCTCTCCTTTATGCACACTAGTGACAGACGTGAGGGTTTCAGTTTAGAATGCAGTGATTTGTGTCACAGGACTTGTGCAACACCAGGTCAAGTGAGGTTTCTCATAAAACAGAACAGGACATTTATTTTCTGTAAACTGTCTTACAATGAAAATTGAAAATTCTGCGTTTGCACTGATCATGTTTCAGAGTGCTGACCTTCTTGAAATGTGGTTTCAAAGTGCTGACCTTTCAGAAATGTGGTTTTAAATTGATACTGAGCAAAATCACATATATGTCCAAAAATCTCAGATGGAGGGCCTGAAAGTCTTGCAGGGTAAATAAAGCCAACAAAATAAAATAATATGGTAGCATTCCATCAAATTAGGCTTCATCATTCCTGATGAGAGCCTATATGAAATGTTGGCTCCAAAACTAAAATAATATTTTGTTCAATAGCTGCTCCAGTGGGGAAAATGGTCCACACTTCGGATATGCATGTATTCCCACACAGTCACCCTGCTGTGCACTGGATGTGCACCAGAGTTTTTTCCGTTGTACATGAATATCCCAAGTGTGCACAATTTGTGTTATCACACTTGAGATATGTATGTAACCCTGTTGTAAGAGTGCTGTATCTCTCAGGTGTACACCTCCTGTAGCTTTTATGCATACTACACTAAGGATGATATTTGTGTGACCCTCTTGTCTCTCCATAGAATAAGTAGCCCTAATGTAAACCATCTGTGTGTTCACACCTAGGATATACCTGTAACCCTGGAGTAGAATTGCAGTGTCTCCCATTTGTAGACAAACTGTAACTTGCATGCTTACTGCAGCAGGGTTAAATGTGTGACCTTTTTGTCTCTTCACAGGAATAGCCCCAAATGTGCACCAGCTGTGGGCTTACCCTTGGGATACATGATACTTTTGTAACTGTGAATTGTGTAGAATTATTTGGATCACAGGTATGCACCTAATGTAACTTGTACAATTTGGATACTCTTGTGTTGCACATGAGTAGCCCTAAATGGGCATTGTCCTATCTTGTTCATTCTAATGGGAATCTCATTTGCTATAATGAAGGAAAACATGGATGTTCATTACATAAAAATGATCTCATTTCAATGAATATATGGGTATAGTGAATATCTTCTTAAAACAAAAATGTCTGTTTCAACAAAAGTTTGTTATAATGGAAATTTTTGTAATAAGGAATAGCTGGTTCTATTCAGTTATGAAAGACTATTTGTTACAACAAAAACAAATTTTTGTTAAAACAGAAATTTTTTATTAGGAATTGCTGTATCTTGTTATAATGAAATATTTTTTATACAGTAGAATTCCGTTACAACAAATCTCGTTATAACATATTTTTCACTATAACAAATTTTTTCATTGGTCCCTGCAGTTTGCCTTATATGTACAGTGTTATAAAAATCTCATTTTAACGATTTTTTTCACAGAATCTCTGGTTATAACAAATTTTTTTTACAAAATTGTCACATTTTTTCACACAATTTTCGAATTTTTTCACCACATTTTCAAATTTTTTCATCAAAATTTTCAAATTTCTTGTCCCAATTTTAACATGTTGTGTCCCTGATCTTCAGGGACACAAACAAGTCCATGATTTTTGTACAATACTGATTTCCTGTGAAACATCATCCCTAGAGGATGATGAACAGGATATTTGTCTGCCTCAGCCCAATTACCCACTAAAAAACAGGAAGCAAAAAATTGGTTACATTTCCTGACTGGCAGGAAGCCCATAAAATAAATGTATCCTGATAAATTTATCAACCAAGCCTCAGGAGGCTGGAAGCACAGTGCCAACTTGGAGCTCAGGAATTCAAGAGCAACAAGAATCAGTGAAAATCCTTGATTTTTAGTCCCCTGCATAAGTCATTTTTTTCTAATCTTAAAAGGCACAAGTTTGGATGAGGTGACCCAACTGCAAGATTTGTGTGAAACAATGGCCCTTTCATTGTAAAGTTGAATACTGTGTGACACCAGCAATACTTTTTAATGAGTGTAAAATTGCACAGCCTTTTTTACTGTGCCACATGCATATGGGTTGTAATGTTGCACAGTAATCACTGTGCAACTTTGCAGCCCTCAAGCCATACAGTGTATTTCTGTGCCCTAACATATTGCTGTGCAATGTTTGCCTGAATGACCTTGCACAGAATTTCAGTGAAAAGATCAAGTCTGTTTAGTTCAAGGTTTCTAAAATGAGAGAGGCCAGAGATTTCTACCAGATGGGAAATGCAGAGTTTCTGCCAGATGGGAAATGTGCAGTTCTTGCAAGAAGGGATATGAGAAGTTTCAAGGAGACACACCTTAAGTTTCTACAAGAAGGGATAAGTGAAGTTTCTACAAGAAGAGATAAGTGAAGTTTCTACCAGAAGAGAGACCAGAAGTTTCTACCAGAAGAGAGACCAGAAGTTTCTACAAGAAAAGATATGCAAAGTTTCTACCAGAAGAGAGACCAGAAGTTTCTACAAGACAAGATATGCAAAGTTTCTACCAGAAGAGAGACCAGAAGTTTCCAGCAGAAGAGAGACCAGAAGTTTCTACAAGAAGATATATGTAAAGTTTCTACCTAGAGATATGTGAAGTTTCTACCAGAAGAGAGACCAGAAGTTTCTACAAGAAGAGATATGTGAAGTTTCTACCAGAAGAGAGACCAGAAGTTTCTAAAGCAAGAAGGGATATTAAGTTTCTACAAGAAGGGATTTGTGAAGTTCTCACACCAAGGGGCATGTGTAATTTCTACAAACAGGTATATGCTGAGCAGTTTCTACCAGAAGATAAGACTGAAGTTTCTACAAAATGGCAAATCAAGTTTCTACAAGAAAGGATGATTTGTGAAGTTTCAGAAGAGATTTTACAAAGTGTTTCACCTCAGTGTCAGCATGAGGAAGACAGCCAAATGCTGAAAATGATAATGAAGTGTCAGTTACAGAAGAGAAAACAACTTCTGCACAAGCCTTTAAAAGATTGCAAGAAGTGAAAAATTACTTATTATCTTCAGAAGAGGGAAATGAGCATGTTTTCAAGCTGCTGAAGCAAGTGGAAGATGTCTTAGTGAAGTGTGTGGTGAAGAAACATGTACAGATTAAAATCACTGATTATTTCAAGCAATAAAATGCTTGTAAAGAGGGTGAAGTGTTTCATCTGTAACAAAATCAAGTAATCTCATTACAACAAATTTTTTGTTATAACAAATTTTTTCTCTGGTCCCCAGGAGTTTTTTGTAACAAGATTTTACTGTATAACAAATTAATTTAAAGACAAGAATCAAATATTCCTTGCAACAAAAATTTGTTATAACACAAATTCTTGTTAACAGAATATTAGTTACAAAATTCTTTATAACAAATAAAATTCTTACAACACAATTAGTTATGATGAAA